CTCTACTCTACCGATTGTGTTGTGAACTACGTTTAATTTTTAACATCAATCATCGATTGGCAGTGTGAAAGTGGCAATATTAAATATGCCTCATTAACAACAACTACACGTTGACAAGATGATGATGATTGTGTTGGTTTTAACGTATGTTCTCTTTCACTTTCATAAAAGGCCCTTTTCAGGGCCGCATATGTTTCTACACAATAAACTGTGCGTTTCTTTAGAATATAAGAGAACGTTAAACGAGCAAGTAATAGATAGATAGATAGATAGATAGATAGATGGTATGGTATGGTATGGTATGGTAATATTATGAGATAACAAAAACATAATATCGAATTAAGGCTCAGCAAATCGAAATGTTTATTTAGATACCGTTTAAATAAATTAATAGATAGATGTACTAATCTAGTATAATAAATAGACGACAAACTGTATACTATTTAACATCATAAGATACACAGTAGGGTAAAGCTTACCTGTCTCACGACGGATGATCATTCATCACCATCATCGACGATCGGCGCCGACGATGCCTGCGCCGCCGCTGCCCGCGAAGACTACCACCACCAATGTTCACGCGCAGAACGCTTCTGTTAGTTAGGATGCAGTTTTTTTTTTTTTTTAAATAAATAAAAATCTTCGTCTTCATAATAATATAAATTATAATATCTTACTTTGGATAATCATATTAAATGAAGTGATACAAAATAGAAAACGACATGTTTCGACAATAATATTATCTGTACTTTATATACACCTCGTTCAACCCGCGACATTATTTCATGGCGGGCTTTGAGTATTAAAATTAATGGGGGATTGACTAATTTCTCTTTTTTTTTTTTTAATAGTATGCGGATTGACCTCAGGACTCATTGGATGGAGTCTAGCCATTGTCGCAGGACAAAATCGTATTACCTTATACGTAGTAACTAATTAGATACCTTTCTATATTCTAATATATAAATTTTATTTTTGTTTGTTCGTATATAATGCGCTACCATACCGTTCATCAGATTGCGCTAAAATTTAGTCAACTTATTGCTAACTAATAATCTTACAATAGATGGCGCGCGTATCGAACTGACAAATTTATTTATTTATTATTATATAGAGACTACCTCTTCCAAATTTTAAACGATATTTCGACAATTTTTTTTTTCCGTGTACCATCTACAGCAACACGAAACATCCACCCCCCTCCCCTCCCCCCGCCTTCGCCTTATTATTTGCCCGGCCATTTTATACTTCCCCGCACCCTCGCCTCAGCCGTCTCAGTCGTCTGGGTGACTTTATATAAACGGGAAAAAGTTGGTGCGGTCTACCTACCTCATTCTATTCCTACCTCATTCTATTAACTTATACGAAGCTAGCAGTCGTCTCATCCGATCCGTGTTTCCTTTGCGTTTTTGAAATTTGAAACTTGAAGTTTTAAACTTTAAACTAAATTTAAATTTAAAGATTCATTCATTAAATTTTAAATAAAGTGAGGATACGTCCTAACGTTAGTCTCGTATAGAAGAATCATTTAGTTACCCGGTATTCGAAACTGTTAATTCAGTGGAGAATACCGTTAGTTCATCGCGTCGGGTTATTCCAAAAATAGACTCGGGTTTTTTGCAATAATTTAAATTCCTCTTTGTGTGCCAGGCGTTTGTAGACCGTATTTCGCTCCACCTAAGGTAGGTTTAGGCCGGCTGCCGTCGAGTCAGGCAGCCGTCAGGCTCCTTGCGTGGCCCCGCGTCTACGTATCGTACACAAGGTCGGGCGCCTTTCTAACAGTTTTTAAATTCCTTTAAATTTAATTCATTAAATTCTTTAAGCGGGAAAGTGATTAAACGCGATAATAGCCGTTCTTCACGTTCTTTCTGGTAAGTTTTTACACACACATATTACACATACATGTTTTATTATATTTAAGTAAATATTTTAATTTTTAGTGCCTTCCTCCCCATTTGGGGGGACTTTTAAATTTTCCTTAGTAATAGTTTTTGGTACAAAAGCCGTAACGGGACTGGTGTCCGTTACGGGTTTTCGTACAACACCCTGCCATCAGCAGGGTGTCGGGACTTAGTGCTTTTAGTGTGAGTTTATAGATCGAATGCGCTACTAGGATGTCCAACCTTTTGGACGTCCAGAGGGAAATGCTCCGCTTTTTAGCGGAGCGCTTCCCCGACGTAAACCCGGGTGAGCTTATGCTCACCCCACTCTCGCCGGAATCATCACCGGCCCGCGTAGACTCCGATATGGAGCACTCCGGCGCAATGACGCCAATAGAAGAGGGGCCTAAGGTGACCGTGCCAGCCCGCCGCACCGGAAGCGGCGCGCGCAAAGTGGCGAGACCACCCACCCCCTCCCCTTCCCCGACCCCTTCTCAGCCTCACTCTCGGGCCTCCTCCCGCGCGCCCTCTAGGGCTCGGCGGCCTCCTCGGGAGAGGACACCGAAGTAGAAAGGCGCCCAGAGGGGGTAGCGTCCTCATCCGGTGACGAGGGCTTCACCCTCGTTGAAGGCAGGAAAAGACGTAGACCTGCAAAAAAGGCGGACTCCTCCAGGCCGGCGAAGAAAGTCGCCTCGGCCTCCCCCTCCGTTGCACCCCCCCCTCAGGGGGGTAATTCCCCTGTTAACAAAGGGGTATCGGCAAAGGCAGCTGAGGGACCAAGAGGTCCCAAAAGCCCGCCACCGATTATAATCCAGGACATGGCCAAGTGGGAGCGTATCTCCCGCGTCATGGCCGACAAGAAAATTGGCTACTCAAAAGCCAAGCCCTCCGGACAGGGCATCATCGTCTCGGCCAATACGGTCGACGACTTTCGGGCTCTCACGAGCCTCTTAAGGGGAAAGAACATCCCCTATCACACCTACTCCTTGGAGGAGGAAAAGCGTCTCCGCGTGGTAATCCGCGGAATCCCAAAAGAGTTCGATACAGCCTTCGTAAAGGAGGATCTGTTAAGCCAAGGCCTGCCGGTGCAAGAGGTGCACCGCATGGTCAACAAATCGACCAACACCCCTTACAACCTGGTGTTAGTAATTCTTGACCTCTCAGAGGAGGGCAAGAAAATTTTCGATGTGCGCACAGTGTGCCATCTCTCGGGGGTAATCGTAGAACCCCCACATAAGAAAAAGATGCCGGGTCAGTGCCATAGGTGCCAACTTTATGGGCACTCGGCACGTAACTGTTTCGCCCGTCCCAGGTGCGTGAAATGCACAGGGGACCATGGCACAAAGGAATGCACCCGCGGCGCTTCGGCCCCCCCGAGCTGTGTGTTATGTGGGGCGGTTGGACACACTGCGAATTTCCGCAATTGTCCAAAAGCCCCCAAGGCACAAAAGCCGAGGGGAAGAAACGCCGGGGGTCGCAAGCAGCCCCCCAAGCAGAAGGGAGCACAGGTCCCCCCCAAAAAGGGTGGTCCCTCTCCCCCTGCCTTCGTTCCGGCTCCGGCTCCCAAGCAAAGTGCTTGGGCCAAGCCGCTGAGCCTGGCCAGTGGTGCACAAAAGAGGGTGCCCACCTCTCTTCCTGCTCCCACTCCCACGTGCGCACCGGCACCTTCAGTCGCCCGTGCCCCGCGAAAGGAGCCAACGCCCAAAGCGGTGAACAAATCGACCCACTCCCCGGCCATGGAGGAGTTAGCTGAGGACGTCAACCTTGTCTGCGACTTCGTAGACAGTTTTGACGTAAAGGAATTGCGCACTCTAGCGCATAAGATTAGGACGGCGCGCTCTGCTAAAGAGCGACTCCAGGCCTCCCTGGACCATATGGAGGTGATAGAGGCGATAAAGAACTTCAGGGCCAATTAGGCCCGAAGTTCTCGCCTACTGTTAATTTGGCTCGGTTTTATTCTTCTAAATGGATAATACAACTACAGCCAGAATAAAACCTAGATCGATAGCTGTCGCCTTCTTCAATGCGCACGGCCTTAAAAATCAAATTGACGAAGTCAGAACCTTCCTCACTGATCATCAGATTGATATATTGCTAGTGCAAGAGACTTTCCTTAAGCCTAGCATTAAAGACCCAAAAATAGCCAATTACAGAGTAATTAGAAACGATCGTATAGGGAATAGATTAGGAGGGACTCTTATTTATTATAGGTCGTCCCTACATGTAGTTCCCATAGACACGCCTCAATTAACTGATCTAGAGGCCTCCGTTTGCAGAGTAGCCATGACCGGTCATCAACCGATCACGGTAGCCTCTGTATATCTCTCACCCAATAAAAAGATAGTAAAGAGTGATTTTGAAGCTCTATTTAATCTCAGTAATTCGGTTATATTAGCAGGCGATTTTAATAGTAAACATCAAGTCTGGACTAATAATAGAAACCTCCATGACAACCTCAACGGCCGTGACTTACTAGCACTAAGTGACAGCCTAGAGTTCAATATAATAGCTCCTTCGGAGGACACTAGATATTCAACAAATATAACGTATAATACGTCTAAAATCGATTTAGCACTACTCAGGAACGTAACCTTAACGTTACGCTCCATAGAAGTGGTGCATGAATTAACATCGGACCACCGTCCGGTTATAATGTCGCTAGGACAGTCCAGCAATGAGGTTCTTACAACCAAAATTGTTACGGACTGGAATAGGTTCGAGGCTAACCTCGAAACTATGAACACTGAATACTTAGATAAAGTGCCAGACGCAATAGACACTAAAGAAGTGGCCTTAGAAGCCATCTCTCACATCTCCTCTCACATAAAGGTGGTTGCCGAGAAATCTTCGAGGCAGCTCAAGGCGTCGAACGATCGTCGCTTTGAGCTCCCTGGGGATGTACGGCGATTACTGAGAGAGAAAAACGCTGCGGTGAGGGCCTATGATCGTTATAGAACGGACAATAATAGGTCCAATATGCGCCGCCTCTGTAGAGAGGTCAAGGAGCGCATGGCCCAGCTGAGGGAGTCACGATGGGACAATCTGATGGAAGATATCTCGCCCTCGCATACAGCCTTCTGGAAGCTGGCGAGAGCTCTTAAATCAGAAAATGTCGCTTCGATGCCCCCATTAGTTAGATCTGATGGTCAGTTAGCGTTCGATGACTCGGAGAAGGCCGAGTGCATGGCGGATAGCATCGAGAGCCAATGCTCTCCAAGTTCCCTGCCAATCGACCCCGTCCACCTGAACAAGGTGGACGAGGAAGCGGCTAATCTGTCCGCCACACCACCAACGGATGATCCACTCCCTCCAGTTACTTTTGATGAGGTGGAAACCATCATCAAAAACCTCAAACCTCGGAAAGCGCCAGGCGCCGATGGTATAAATAACAAAGTGTTCAAAGCTCTCCCCCCAAAATTGATCTGCCTTCTAGTGGCTATTTTCAATGTTCTATTGTCCACCTGCACCTTCCCACAAGTGTGGAAAGAAGCAGAAGTAATCGGTATTCACAAACCGAATAAACCTAGAGACAGAGCTTCTAGCTATAGGCCCATCAGTCTCCTCAGTGCCATGGGGAAAATCTATGAGCGCATCATCCTCAGCCGTCTGAAGGATGCAGTGCTAGTAAAAAACCTAATTCCAAACGAGCAGTTTGGCTTTCGAGCCAAACACTCAAGTGTTCAACAGGTGCACCGCCTCACGGAGCACATTCTAGATCAGGCTGCAAAGGCGAACAGACGCCCTGTTTACACAGGAGCACTGTTCTTCGATGTGGCCAAGGCCTTCGACAAAGTCTGGCACAATGGACTAGTTTTCAAACTTATCCATACAGGGGTGCCCTTAAGACTTGTCAAAATCGTACAAGATTTTCTTACAAATAGATCCTTTCGTTTTCGCGTGGAGGGTACATTCTCCTCTTCCAGAACAATCAGGGCAGGAGTTCCCCAGGGCTCGGTGCTCTCCCCAACCCTGTATTCACTTTACACAAGTGACATTCCTTCGGTAATAGGTACCCATCTCGCACTATACGCGGATGATACTACCATTTACTCCTCAGACACCCATCCCATTATAATCTGCAGTCGACTCCAAGCTGCAGCAAACGCACTAGGCGATTGGTGCAGAAAATGGAGAATCGAACTGAACCCCGATAAGAGCAAAGCCATCTTTTTCAACAGAAGATGTTATTACAACAAATTACTGGCTCAGATTAAGAAATATAAATTAGGTACGATCTCCCTATACGGCAGCCCAATACCGTGGGTTCCAGAGGTAAAATACCTGGGGGTGACTTTAGATTGTGCAATGAGCTTCTCTCAGCACATTAAAAAAGTTAGAAATAAGGCAAAATACGTTGTGTATCGTCTTTTTGCCTTAACCAACAAACGCAGTAAGCTGTCCCTAAGACACAAACTGCATCTTTACAAAACCTGCGTACGTCCTATTATGACATACGCGGGTGTCTCCTTTGCGCATGCCAATAAAACGAGCCTAAAACAACTTCAAGTTGTTCAGAATAAGTTCCTGCGTCAGATCACAGGAGCTCCGTACTATGTGAGGAACGCGGATCTCCACCGCGACCTCGAAATGCCCACTTTACATACGTATCTTAAGGAACTATCCTTAAGATACTTCGAGTCGATAAAAGATCACGAAAATCCGTTGGTGAATGAGGCGGGCTCGTACTCCCCACAGAGGGATGTTGCCCCCCGCAGGAGACGTCCCAAGAACGTTCTTCTTGATCCCGATGACGAGATCACTTCCATAAATAGGTCGATCCCGCCCCCCCCCTCCACGGGTGAGGGAATTAGATTAGTAAATATAAACACTAACACACACACAGACACTACTCTAGTACAGAACACTAGGGCACACCGCATTCGCCGGCGAATGCGACGTCACAGACACACTCCGTACACGAGGTTTAACACCCGTGATACGGGGCGTTTCTAACTTTTGCGACTCGTTAATAAAATTGCGATAGCGATTCAAGCCGAGGTTCGTACCTCCATCTGAGGGGCCCTTGAATCGCATCGAGCCCCCCCCCTAGCTCGAGGAGCCTCACTCCGAAAGCAGGGGTCGGGGTGCCTCGGGACTGCTGTCGGCGAAGCGGCGCTTCGCGCCGCCTCGCCGACGGCAGAATCGTTGCACTCAATAGTTCGTAAGTACTCACTTACGAACCTAATTAGACGAAGCTGTCAAGGCCGCAGGGCCAACAGCACACTCATTCAGAAAAAAAAAAAAAAAAAAAAAGGTGCGGTCTATCTGTCGTCGTGCGTTCGTAACGTACGTTAAGTCTCTATATATATTATTTCGTGTGTTGTCTTTCTTCTCTAAGCGAAAATGACCGGTCGCGGTAAAGGTGGTAAAGGTTTGGGGAAAGGTGGAGCGAAGCGGCACAGAAAAGTTCTTCGTGATAACATCCAGGGTATCACCAAACCGGCTATCAGACGTCTCGCACGCAGGGGCGGTGTGAAACGTATCTCCGGGTTAATCTACGAAGAGACACGCGGTGTACTCAAGGTGTTCCTTGAGAACGTGATTCGTGACGCTGTTACATACACCGAGCATGCGAAGAGGAAAACCGTCACCGCAATGGATGTCGTGTACGCCCTGAAACGTCAAGGACGTACCCTCTACGGATTCGGTGGTTAATTTCTTATACGCTACGCGATGAAGACGTCGTCCACCGCCACGTACTACGGCTCTCTGTCCGCTCTAAGTTCGTCTATAGTACACCATGTGCGCAGTGTGTATTTGCTACTTGGTATGCGGGACTCTGAGAGTTAAGTTACGTGATGAGACGATTTTCCTAATCGTATAAGTTTTAAAAAAAAAAGGCCCTTTTCAGGGCCGCAAAACTATCGATATAACTTGTATTTGTTTCGTAGAGTATCGTCATTTAAAAAAAAAAAAAAAGAAATGATATGTGCAAGCATGTATTTTGTTGTACGGATATGTGTATAAATGGCATGATTATGTAGTATATAATTGCGAATGTATGTGTGTTTATGATCATGTATGTAAGTGCATATTAGAATTAGATGTGTCTGTCTATAAAGTTATGTTAAGTATTTAAAGCTGTAAAGGCATCACATAAGATTTATGTATACCAATTAAACGCGGAACAAAATTAGGTTTATTTTTTTTAATTCGAAATAATTTCGAAAAACTGATCTGAATGAAAGAAACGTCAATTCATGTAGGCATTAAATGACTATACTCTTCTTAAATTTGACGATACCTATTAAACAACAAGTGTAAGATATCGCCATATTGAAATAATGGTTCGAACGTCTTAGGAATATATTATCATAATTCCGAATTGTATTTTTTTTTCTCTCTTATTTATCTCCCTTATTATTTAATATATACATTATAATATGATATACTATATTTTAATAATATCACACTTCATTTTTTTTTTTTTTTAAATACTTAACGCTTTATAAACATACGTTGCTCTGAAGCGTGCCCAGCTTTTGTACGTATTTTAAAGAAGTATGGGAACGTGTTGCAACATTCTAGAAATAATAATGATTTATAATAATTATTTCAGATTACAGTGGACAAATTTTAAAATATTATAGACTATTTTCAAAGATCGTACGCTTTGTATAGGGACTTCGGTCTGTGAGCCTCGAGACCTCTTCGTGTTTTACGACCTTCGACGTATAATAGGTCGTTGCATTACGAATAATGCATTACCGGCGTGACCTCTGCCTTCTGTCTAACCTCAGGATATTAACTTTCAATAGACCGATTTAAATTTAACTAAACTAATGAGCAAATAGAGAAAAATCATTTTAAAAGGCGGCTCATGGTACGCTCAGAATATAGTGAACAAAATAAACATCCATTGCTCGTTTCTCGATCGCTTATATACGTAACGGGTTTGTCTGTTACGTGCACAATCTCAAATATATACCGTATTAACTTTCTGAATACGATAATATTTATATATCACGGTAAAAATTAAATTTTATTCGAGACGTTCTAGTGAAAAGTTAGAAGTGTTCGTACGAGAAAACGTCTCGCAGCACCGCGGTTCTCCTTACGGTTAAGCTTTGGTTGGGGGGGTAAGGTGGCGATAGTGTCGCCACCTGTGTATTATCCTACGTAATATCAATTTGTGTACGATATATAACAACAATTTACAATTTTCCTTTGTTATTATCATCTATCGCGAGTTGTGTGCGGAGCGGTGCGGGCGGAGCAACATGGATTCAGGAGCGGACACTCCGCAGCAACACAGCTGACCAGAGTGCTGCACCTATTGTCGGCCGAATACAACCGGGATCGCACATCGTTGGGCGTCTTCCTCGATATCGAGAAGGCGTTCGACAGGGTGTGGCACTCTGGTTTACTCTTTAAGATGGAACAACAGACGAGTGTCCCTCCGGCTATGCTGCGGCTAGTGGCGTCGTTTCTAGCCGACCGGAGCTTCTACGTCTGTGTCGAAGATGCCGAATCCGCAGTAAAACCCATAAGAGCTGGCGTACCACAGGGCAGTTGTCTTTCACCGATCCTGTACGCGGCTTATACAAATGACATCCCTACTTTGGCTGGACATCTACGCGAATGGGAGGACGACGTGGAGCTGGCGTTATATGCGGACGACAGCGCCTACTTCGCCTCGTCCAGAAGCCCCCATCTCGCCGTCGCCAAGATGCAGCGCCTGCTGGACCTGCTGCCATCGTGGCTGGATGAGTGGAGGATGGCTGTAAACGTTGGGAAAACGGCCGCCCTCCTCACCCGCCGCTACCGGAACTTCCCGCCCCCGTTGACGCTTAGAGGCCAGGAGATTGCGTACGAAAAGGCCGTGACTTACCTTGGGTGCCGGATCGACAGGATGCTGCGCATGACCGCGCACGTCGACATCGTCGTCCGCAATGCCAGATGTGCGCGGACGGCGCTCCGTCCGGTCCTGGCATCCAAACTACCGCTGAGAACAAAGTTGAAAATCTATAAGTTATACATACGCACAAAGATCACCTATGCCGCGCCGGCCTGGTACGCACTCCTGAGCGAACGGCAGAGGCAGCGGCTGCAGGTTCAGCAGAACCTAAGTCTACGAACCATCGTCGGTGCAGGTCGCTACGTCCGGAACGACGTCATCGCGGCGAACCTTAAGATGGAAACAATCAAGGAATTTGTGGCCCGATTAGCGCGCGGTATGTTCGACCGCGCTGATAACGGGCCACACGAACATCTACAAAATTTTGCTCCCCTACATGCTCGACCACCGGACGGGCGACCTCTGCCAAGAGAACTCCTCTCTATAGAGATTAGAGAGTCGAGTAATAACCCGCAATGCCGCAGACAGGCCAACCCAGACGGCCGGCCGCATTAGCCGCCGGCCATATTGACTTGACACACAAATTTACCAGATAACCATATACCGAACTAGGCGTCTTTTTCAGGCTCAGGCCGAATTAGGCGCCTTTTCAGGAGAAAAGGCCATATTATGCCACGTTTTCAGGAGCGGGCCATATTACCCGCCTCCTGAAAAAATTTTTGGAAGAAGACTTGAAACTGAAAATAGTGACCGGGGAATCAAACCCGTGTCACTATAGCATCTAACAATGCCAAAACGGCTCCCACGACCGGTGCATAGTTATGCACCGCGAGGAGATTCCGGGCAATGGGGTCAGCCCCGAGGCCCGAGACCTGTTGGGTGTAGTACACACACCTCAGCAGACGACAACGTAGGTGTCGCCACCACACCTCAGTTCGTCGCGGGCCGTGCTACAGTGCGGACGTGTCTAGTGCGCTCCTGTGTTGTGTACGTGTTGTGCTAGTGATTGACTCCGCCGACGTCGAGTTCGCTCCGTTTGGCGTCGAGGCGTCGCTGGCGCATTTCCTGCGTCGGACTGTTAATAAGGTAAGCGTAAAGGTCACTACTTACGCTGTGCCCTACTTTACGTTTTACCTTTTTGTACACTGTACCCTCTTTTTATAACAAAAAGTGATTGCAAGTGTTCCGCATTTGAGTGAGATTACGCCCATCCCATCTGCGCCTCACACACCCCTCCCTGCTCGCGGGCGCCTCGCTGGGCCTCCCTCACGGGTCTCACCCGGTGTGGTTGCACGCGCTGTGGGGAGTAAGGTGTGTGATAGCTAAGGGCTGAGCATAATTAATTAGTAATGTCGGACAAGGGGGAACCTCCCCCAACACGCCGTAAACCACCTGATAGGCGTCCGGGAGTACTCGACAGGCCCCTCATGGAGCGAGACCTCTTCGCTCCGGAGAGATCTAGAGTGCTCCCACCTTACAGCCAACTCCCGAGGCGAATAGGCAGTATACCGGCGCCCGGCGCCGCGCTCGGCGCAGGTGAAGCTGTGTCTTCACCGAGCGCAGAACTGGCTCCATTACCACGCCGGAGCCTAGCCTCGCGGAGACGTACACCTCCTGATATAGAACAAGATCAGCTGCAAGAGGAGAAAAGGCTGAGAGCCGGATCAGACTCACTATCTGATTCGGCATCGCCTTCTACCTCTGCCACACCACCTGAGATACAAGCCCCACAACCTGTGGTAAGTCATAACATACCGCCTAACTCACCGTCCCCAACCACCTCTCCGGCCTGCACCGCTGACATGCAGGATTTCGGTGAGGAAGACCCGGAAGGGGAGAGGGAGTGGGACAATACGTCCTACGCCACTCTAGCCCCAATACTAGACTCCCAACCTGCTAACCAGGAGCCCATACCTGGGCCTTCTTCAGCGCCGGACTCCTATGCGCAAATTGCAGCAGCGCCAAGATCAGCGCCACCATCACCTCCACCACCACCTGCACAAAAACCACAACAGCCAGTAAATAACCAGGCCAAATACCCTCCTATTATAGTGGAGTGCTTCCCCGATTGGGCGAAGCACTTCAAAATTTTACACCAACTTCTGGGCCACGCCCCTAATGCTCGTCCATTTGGAAAGGGAGTCCGTTTTCGGCCCCAGTCCGATAACGAATATAGGAAGGTCCAGCGCTACCTCATCGATAAAAGCAAGGAGGATGCCACCTTCGTGTGGTATTGCTACGCCCCACAGGAGGAGCAACCCACGAAGGTGGGGTTAAGAGGGCTCCCTGCAGATACAGACCCTAAGGACATACAGGAGGCCCTCATAGAGAAGGGCTTCCCTGTTACTTTTGTCCGAGCAATACCACCAAAAAGAGGCAGGCCTGGCTGCCTCTTTCATGTAAAGATGAACCACCTAAGTCCTGAAGAGCTCAACAGATTGTACAAAATTGATGAGCTCCTTTACATGCCGGGAGTTACAATTGAAGGATGGACAGGCAGAATTGGCCCTGCGCAGTGTCACAGGTGTCAAGGGTTCGGACACGCATCTTACAACTGCTACCGGCCCTTCAAATGTGTACGCTGTGCGGGTGACCATCTTGCCTCTGCTTGCCCACAACCGAGAGATACACAACCCAAATGCGCCAACTGCGGCAGGGATCACGCCGCAAACGACAGGCGATGCCCAGTGCTGCAGCGAATTGCGAGGAAAAGAGGCATCAACATACAGCCTCCCATGCCCCCGCAGCGCGAACCAGCACGAGCACCGCAACAACCACCTCCACAACAGTGGCAACCACCACTGCCCCAAAGACAAACACAACTCCAACCCCAACAGCTGCAAAAACAGCAGCAACC